GAAGATATTTAAAGATAACACGTATTTCATTATCAAAGGTCTGGTAATGGTTTCTTAAATAGATTGCTCAAAGGTAAGGAAAAAATGGTAGTATATATACATATATGCCACATTTTCCTTATCTAATCTTCTATCTATGGGTATTTATGGTGGTTCCATGTATTATCAATTGTGAATGATGCTGAAATGAATATAATGGTGCCTATAGGTATTCAAATTAGTGACTATTTTTGTCTTCTGATAACAGGAAGGAGAAGTGAAACAATATTCATGTAACTGGGAGAAACAAGGCAGAAATAGATAAGTACAAAATGACTTCATTTGCATGTGGCATAGAAAGAAATAAAGTACATATAATAATAATAATAATAATAATAAAATACCACAAGATTATGATTACAAGAGTAACTATAGACTCGGTAACAGAAGTGGACAGTGCACTGAGTTGGATAGTGACAAAGAGTACAAAAACTTTGTGGTGAATCTCGTGTGGTTCATACATTTATCAACGCATGTAGATACACTATTTCAACATAAAGTTGCATCAGCAAAACATAAATATAGTAATAATAACAAATCAAACATTATAGATAACATCTTGTGCTCATGGAATTATATCATGCGGGAGATAACATTGTCATAATTAAAGAATATATTTTGAATATAGTTATGTAAGCGTATATACATTACAATATCCATATCACATTGAGGTATATGCATAATCTCTTCAATTCTAACAAAATAATTTAAAATAGAAAATCATAATACTTGAAATGCTTGAAATGGTAGTATTATAAACTGTCAATAAATGTATGAAAAGAAAAGGGCAAGTGACTGTGTCAGCACAGTAATCAGTAGGACGTAATCATGTGGTATTGGGTGGGAGGGGGGTAGACAATTGGGGCATAGAGAGAGGCCTGAAAACACAAAGCACTGGTAAACACGTGAATCCAAAGGAATTGGCATGGAAGAGATAGTAAACAATTTGCTAGATCATTCTAACTTTATAGCATGCACTAACAGACATGAGAGATATTCATAAACACATTATTATAAATAATAACAAGCCCCCAAATGGGAAAATATCATATTTATAAAAAAAAAGGATAAGTGAAATTTGAACAATATAAAAAATATCACTCGATAGCCCTTTAAGTGAGTAAACTAATCCTACTTACATGGAAAGAAAATCCTGGAAGAGAACTGAACACAGCAACATCTATAATATGATTTCATCTACATAAAGGAAAAATTCATATGTGGCAATTCTCCAGGGAAGGATTATGGTAAAATTCTGTGAAGGTGCCATTTAACATACTGGAACTGTCCTGGTCTTTATATAGGTAGAGACTGCATGAGTGCATTCACTCTCAGTAGAGGATTTATTAATGCATCCTTGAGTGTATCAACAATTATTTATAGAATTTGTTATTGTAGACCTGTTCTTATGCCCTTTTTCTTTATAAACTTATGTTGAAGTCTAACAAAAACAGAACAGAGTTTGGGCTTGCACTTGCCAATAAGTTTCCAATCCCTAAACAGTTAAACATTATTATTATAGAGGTTGAAAAATGTCTTTAATCTTTCTGATCTTATCCCGTCATGTGTAAAGTGTAAAATCAAGAATATGCTCAAGTGAAATGTCTGTAAATAATAAAATTCCTTTTGTATTTACATCTCTTTACGTTCCTATTCATATGCATTATGCACAGAATTTCTTTTATCATGGGAAAAGAGCTGAGAGAGACCCCAGGATCAGGGAGAAATCAGGCAGATTTAGAAGTAATTGAAAATCTTGCCTATTTAAAAGAAAGAAGTCTCGCAGCTAGAAAACGATAGAATCACAACCCTTGTTCTTTTTCACTGTATCACCTCTCCAAACACGTTATTAGATGACACATCACCTGTCACGCTCGACCGTGATCAAGAGTCTTTGGACTACACGTCGAACATGCACAGTGCAAATTGTTGTAGGAAAATAAAGGGAGTTTCACACTGATTCATAAAGACCTTTGAAATAGAGTGCAGCTAAATGTTAGCAAATCCTGGAATAAAGCAACAGTAGACTGATACAAATCTCCCCATTGGTGATTAGACTTCCTAGAAGAGTCCTGAGCACTTTAGTTTAGACTTCTCCTTTCTGCCAGAGTACTAGAGTAATCTGAACGGCCATAGCAATATGAACGCCATCCCCTGTGAAAGAATGTGGCGGGAAGAAAGGAGAAAAAGTTCTTTCAAGGTCTGGTATGAAGAATGAGTTATGGGAGGAAGAAACATGCCTATTCACCACATGGCACCACCAGCATAGAAATGTCAGAATGACAGACAATTGAGAGGAAAAGTTTTCACCATTGTTTCCCAAGCTGTTCTTTTTCTTTTTAATTGAGTCACCTCAAGATACAGTTATAAAGCTTTCATGTTTGAGTTTCAGTCATAAAACGATTGAACCCTACATAAAACGATTGATCCCTACACCACTGCACATGTTCCACTACCAATATTACAGGTATTCCCCTCCCCCATCCCAACCCTCCCGCTGCCTCCATGGCAGACAATTTCCAGGCTGATTCTTTCTTTCTTTCTTTCTTTCTTTCTTTCTTTCTTTCTTTCTTTCTTCCTTCCTTCCTTCCTTCCTTCCTTCCTTCCTTCCTTCTTTCTTTCTTTCTTTCTTTCTTTCTTTCTTTTGGGGAGGGGTCACACCTAGCAATGCACAGAGGTTTCTCATGTCTCATGCACTCAGGAATTACTCCCGGCAGTGCTGGGGATCAAACGGAATGCTGGGAATTGAACCTAGGTCAGCCGCCTACAAACTCTACCCTCTGTGCTATTGCTCCAGCCCCACCGAGCTGATTCTTAAAGGAAAATTTGCTCTTCTCTCCCAAAGTCTTTTTGCCTTTGGCCAATCTTGTGAATACTATTTCTACTTTCAACGTTATTTCTACTTCCATAACCATTTAAACACCTTGCATCCAGCTCTCTCTGATAGAAAAAAGAAAGGGGAATTTTTGCACAGTGGGTGAAATTTGTATTTTTTTTTCTATTTTTCTAAGATGAAAGGGAAGGAGCACTCATAAGCAGAATAAATGTTAACTTGGGTGGGTCTTTGATGGCATTTTTATAGGTGATCTCTTTCTGTCCCTTGTGATTGTCAATATGTGTTTCAAATGGCTGAGAGTTGAAGCAACAGCCAAGGAAGTTAGATCATCACACATAGCTTTTACACAGGGCTCTGGGGTCCCTGTCTGTTTGCATTTGAATCTCAAATTTAAAATTCAAAGGCAAATAATCTTTTACTTATTCATTATCAGAGATTAGACCTGTGGGTTTAGTTAATCCACAGCTGACTCTAATGCCCTAGTGGCCTAAAGAAATTAATGACTTCCCAAATCAAGTCACAGCAGAAGGGGGAATATTAAAACACTGGTACTCATCTTTGGATATGCAGTAAAATTGCATTGGCGGCCCTTCAAATACCCTGCCAATCTCCAGAACAGACTAATTAAAATATAATCTCTGAGGGCAGGTCAGAGGAGAGGAGTATTCTCTAAAATATTCCCTAGGTAATTCAAAATTTTCCCAACTATTACCAAAATCTTTAGAGAAATAGGATACCTTGCTACAAGTCACTGCATTAATGCTAGGAAGATACTAGCTTTATAAAATGTGCATTTTTAAATTTTAATTTAGCATATTTTAGGAATATTCCTGCTCCCTATCATTTGAATTTTTAAATGAGAGGAAGCATTTGGATTTCCCCTCCCCAGTTCCTAACACTAATGAATCTGAACACAAATGCTGAGTCAAACCTTTGCCTTTTTTTCATTTGTCTCAGCTGAGTAGAGATAAAATGTACATCAGTTACTGAAAGAAAAAAAAAACAACTTAAAATGCTGAACTTGCTTTTGCTATAAGTAGAACCAATTACTTCCCTGACTATTCTACACACATAAAAGGTATCTGATGTTCAAGCAAGTTTCAAATTACAGGCACGAGCTGGTCTTCTTGTAAGTCTTAATCACCTATGGCAGTGTCATTTCTAGGTCATAAACATGCTTTGTCAGCTATTATTTTTTTTCCAAAGAACCTCTAGACTATAATTCACAATTTACTGATATATGTGTTCATCAAACAGATAAAGATTTTCTGATCATGAAAAAATAGATAAAAACATGGCTATGCATTCCTGAATGACCCCATTTCTTTTAATCCCTGAACACAGAGGGATGTGCCCCACTCATCAAATTTATTATTTAAAATAAATAATAGTAGTCAAGAAAAATGGCAATAGGCAGATGGAAACCTACTTCTTCTTTTGTTCCAACTTGCCAGCTTTAATTTTAGAAGTGACTGAGAACAATCCTGCCCTGCAACAGGGATGATGACACACCACAAACTGGGGGAAAATATTTGTCCACAACTCATCTGACAAAGGTTTAATATCCAAGATATTTAAAGTGCTTGTAAACTGAACCAATAAAAGACAATCAACCCCATCAAAAAAAATGGGAGAAGAGATAACCAGAAACTTTCTGAAAGGAGACATACAGAGGGCTATTAGGTCTATGGGAAATGCTCTACATCACTAATCATCAGAGAAAAGCAAATCAAAATAGTGAGGCCTCACCTCACACCAATGAGACTGGCACACATCAGAAAAAGAGAAAATAATTTCCACCGGAAAAATGCTGGTGGAAAAAAAAAAAAACGAACCCTCTTTCACTACTGATAGGATTGTCACCTGGAAAACAATTGTCCACGTCTCAAAAAACTAAGAATTGAGATTCCTGCCTCCCTCAAGTGGGAGAGAGGATTGATTGGTAGGCGAAAAGATAAGACAAAGAGAGAAAAGAGATAGAGGATAAACATTACAGTCAAAACGAAACAAACACAAAACTCACAGTGAGCTCAAGGACAGGGACAGATCAAAAGAGAAAAACACAGACTTTTGAGAAACAACCGTAAATACGGGAAGGCCCCGCGTCTGAAGCAGGCCAAGGAGGATGGGATCGGAACAACAGCGCAGAGAGCGGGAGCAGGAATTCCAGAGCAAACAGCAGGAAGCCATGGGTTCCCAAGGGAACCTGTCAGCTGAGGTGGAGCAGGTGATAAGGCACCAGGTTCAAGGCATGCAGAGCTCCCAACAGAGAAACCGTGAGCGTGTCCTGGCCCAACTTCTCGTCATTGTCTGTGATGTGAGGCCCCAGATCCATGCCAACTACTGGATGACTGCCTAGGAGTCATGAGAGGTCCTGGCTTCTCATGGGGAGTTTCCCCCTTGAAGAAATCCCCTTATTGATGTTACTTCTAGCTGTAGTCCTGCTCTCCTTTCCATTCTTAGACATTCTCAGAGGCAGGATTCAGTAGTTCTGGAAGTTAATGAATATCCTGTCCAGAGCTGAATCTCCTTACTGTGCTTTAACCTTCATCAGGACCTAAGTTACCCACAACCAATGCCCTTGTGAAAAGTTAGAGCATGGAGAAGTAGAGATGCGGGAAACATCCCAAATTCTGGTGGGTTTCGTCCAACCTTGTCACCTACAAAACCAGTACAAGCTACTTCCCCTGTAGCTTCAGAGGCCTCCTCTGAGAGACTAGAATAACAGTGTCTACTACAGGTCTACTGCAAGGAGAGCGAATCACTCTAGAGCCTGGCATGTAGTTTTGATTTGTGAACAGCAGCCCTATGATACTATTACCGACTCCCACCTGTCCATTCTCTGGCCAAAACCTTCTCATGGCTGTCTAAGCCCTTCCTCACACCACTGAGGCCTGCCTGGTGTTCTAATCCTACTCATTCATTCTGTGACCCGAGTCTAAATTCTCTGAAGAATTGGCTCTTCCCACTTCTCTTTTCTCAGAAACTATAAAATGTGACAAGATGGAATTATGACTTCTTGTATAATCTCCCTTTTGGGTTTCTGGGAGGATGTTGCAATTCTGTCTCAAGTTTTTTTTTTTTTTTCATTGCATTTCTCCTTCCACTGTTCCCCCCAAACCCATGAGATGTTTACTGCTTCCTGAGATAAAGTGATGCTGTGTCCCCTTGTATGCATAGCCTCCCTTTAACACATCCTCAACACTTCACTTTACCTTTGTGACTGTTTAAAAGTCAATAAAATAAGTATGGGAAAAACAAAAAACAAACAAACATAAAAAAACTAAGAATTGAGCTTCGTGACCCAGAGATCTTGGAATTTGGAACATCCTGGAATTTCCCTAACTGCCAGTAAATGATTGAGTGTACAGTTATCTATCATTTCAGAAAAGATATTTATACTTTTTGGTTTATTGCAAGGGTTTCATTAACAGCCAAAATCTGGAAACAACATAAGGGTCCAAGAATCATATGACTGGGTAAAGAAATGGGGTCTAAAAAAACATTGAGATGCAGAATTCCAGGCATACAGCAATGCTGGATTCTTGGGCTTTTGGTTTGAATATCTCCTCATAATCCCTCATGCATATGACTCCCTGGAATTGAGGTGAGAAAAGAAAAAATATGGCAAATTCATGTATTAATAATCTTGATATTTTGTAAATATGTATTTTGCTCTTTAACTTTAAGCCCCTTCATGGTTTGAAGATAATTCTCAGTCGCTCTTTTATACTCAGTCTTCCAGCACTGATTTTGGGTGTTATTGAACAACATTTCAGAGGGTATAATTCTGCTGTGTGAAAATCTGATTCATCTGGAAACTAACAACAGCCATGAAATAATAACTTAGGTTTATTTGTTGGATTGATTCACCCATAAATAAACAATGAATATTCTAGAGAAATATCAATAAATAATGGGTTTAATAATGGAAGAAATTTCATTCGTGGGTTATAAAAAGTAAAAAATGCTGGGAATAAATCTGTGAAAACTGTAGAAATGTTTTTAATTTAATACTCAAGATATAATGATAATAAAGACACAAAGAAAATAAACCTAATTTTTAATTAAGATACACGAAGCTTTTGTTTGCTTTAGTTTTGAGCCATGCCCAGCTTCGCTCATAGTTTATTCATGCCTCTAAGCTCAGTAATCATGTCAGGCAGTCTTAAAGAATTATCTAGGATGTCTAGGATAGAATGTGGGTCACCAGCATGCAACGCAAATGCCCGAGCCACTGGTTTGTTCCTCTGACCCCTCAAGATACATCAACGATAATTCGTTTTAAAATGATGCATGACTTTGAATTGTTTCATTCAAAATAGGAGACAAGGACTTAGAAGGATTCTTGCCTTATATCCAGACAACTCAGGTCCTAGCACCAGTTGTGGTTCTCTTGGCACCACTTACAGTGCTCCCTAAGCACAGAACCAGGAAGAAACCCTGGGCACTGTGGGGTATGGCCCCCAAGCAAAAACAAATCACCCCTAAACCAAACTACCAGACAAGGTTATATGTTCACAAATATTTATATTTGATTTAGTAATTCATTACAGTCAAGTTGTCTGGCAGATGGTATTGGAGGAGAAAATTTAGTAAATTATATTTTATTATTTGACTGTCACTGTCACTGTCCTCCCGTTGTTCGTCGATTTGCTCAAGCGGGCCCAGTAACGTCTCTATTGTGAGCCTTTGTTGTTACTATGTTTGGCATATCGAATACGTCACGGGAGCTTGCCAGGCTTTGCTGTGATTATTTGACTAAGTTCATTTTTTTTATAATTAAAACATTTTATTCTTAGTATAGAACATCATTGGTCTGACCGAAATGAGAAGATATCAATCACATCACGCCATTTTTGACACTGGAGAACTGTTCCTTGGAACATGTGACAAAAGAGGCATCTGTGGTGCTGGTATCCTTGTCAACACGAACTTAGCCACAAGCATTGATTCATTCAAATGCCTAACAATCCGAATAGGACAATTACACTTGAATAGATGTGGCTCACTGCCGGCAGTTTCTATCTTTGTTGTCTATGCACCAACATCCAATTATGGTGAAAGAGAAATTGAGAAGTTCTACATGGAGCTGGAGAAGTTATATAAAGAAGACCACATCTTCTACAAGAACATTGTCGGTGATTTTAATGCCAAGATAGGACCAAGAAGATCAGCCAAGGAATCAGCTCATTGAAGTTTCTCAGGAGTTCAAGATGTTGCTCTGTCTAACGTTTATTGATTTAAAGATGGCCTTTGATTCTGTTGAGATGGAAGCAGTCATAGAAGCCCTAACCAATCGGGGCATTCAAGCCCAATACATCAAGATCCTCCATGAGCTGTATTGCAGATTCACTACCAGGGTCTCACCATTCTACAAAGAAGTAATCATCCATGTCAAGAGAGGGGTTCGGCAAGGTGATACCATTTCACCGAAACTCTTCAGTGCCACCCTCAAGAACATCATGCGACGACTGGAATGGGAAGGAATGGGAGTGAAGATAGATGGTCGGCAATTACACCACCTCCGCTTTGCTGATGACATTGTTTTAATAACACCAAACATCAGCTAAGCAGCACAAATGCTGAATGACTTTAACCGTGAATGTGGAAAGGTCAGACTACAGCTGAATCTTACAAAGACAATGTTTATGAGAATCAGCCTTGTTCCTGACGCTCCATTCGCTGTCAACGGAACCACCATCTCTGAATGCAACAGTTATATATACCTAGGTCGAGAAATCAACATGATGAATGACCTGGCACCTGAGTTACGCAGGAGCAAGAGAGTGGCTTGGAACGCCTTCAAGAGTGTTGAAGAAATAACTAAGAAGACAAAGAAACTCCAGCTAAGAGCACATCTCTTCGATTCCACTGTTCTTCCTGCATTAACATATGCCTCAGAGACCTGGACACTATGAAAACAGGATGAGAACGCTATTCGGTTCTCTCAAAGAGGAATCGAAAGAGCTATGCTTGGAATATCACGATTCACTCAAATGAGAGATAGAATCCGGAGTTCTGATCTTCATCAACGCTCAAGAATCAGGGATGCTGTCTCATTTGCCAAGACATCAAAAATCAGATGGGCTGGACACGTAATGAGGTTTACAGACAACCGCTGGACTAGAGCCATTACTGATTGGATTCCACGGGACATCAAAAGATCGCATGGACGCCCACTTACAAGATGGTCGGACTTCTTCGTCAAGACCCTGAATGATGGGTTTGAGGCTCTGCATGTTCCTAGAACGAACAGATGCCATTGGGCTATGCTAGCACGGAACAGGGATGAACGGAGACATTACTGGAACCCGCTCGAGTAAATCAATGAATAACGGGGGATCAAGTGATCAAGTGATAGAGCGAGAGTATAGAATTAAGTTGTTTATGTGGCATGTAACTGATCCTGATTAGTTCCCTGGTACCAAATGTTCCCCTGAAGAATCATGAGGTATAGCTTTGATGCCCCTAGAGTATACAGGGCTGATGTGTGTGATCCCTGGCACCACAAGACCTAAGAGATTAGAACCCTCAGTCCTCTTCACTGAAATGCTGATTCATCTGGCAAAGAATTGCCCATGGGCCCATCCTCTATGAGCACTTACTAGGAGCTATCCCCCCATTCACTTATTCTAATTTGCATTTGAAATAAATTAAAATATGATATTCTCTATCTGGTAAAATGTACAGTTTTTGAGCATCTTGTTGTATCCAAAGATTAGACTTAGTTAAGATTTTTTATTTTTTAATCATAATGAATATATAAATCTGTTTTTGCATTTATGTTTGTTTAACACTGCTTCATAGTAATTAAATTATGAGAAGCTAGATAATATCTCAAACAACCAAGGGAAATTTAAACTGATTTTAAAAGACAAATGAAGCTTATCAATTCCTTCTAAATAAAATTGGGAAAAACAGACAAAATAACAGTCAACAATATTAATCCTTAGACAATCTATTCTTCAAAACTTGAGTAAGATACAGACTAGCATGTCACATATTTTTTTTTGACTGTCAATTGGGGCCTTATGAATGTTTAACTGGCCTTGAATTATCTCTCACAGATGGCCAGGTTGTTTAAACAGATGGCTGTTCGGTTGACCTTTACATTTTTGTTTTTCTTTTCATAATAACCTGTGACTTATAAAGGGTCAAATTCTGTATTTGGTGTAATTGGATTTTTTATTTCTACTGTCTTTCTAGACCAAAATATTACTTAACCCTGTACAAAATGTGCACATATTCCTAAAGTATAAAATTTCAATAATGTACATATTGTATCAGAGGAAGCATTTTAAAAGAGGTAACATCTGATTTAAGAAAAAAATATTGAATTCTAGCAGTGTGTAAATA